ACTGGCACAGTCACCTTGATGGAGTCATTTACATCTGCCCTCTACTTTAGCTGTATAGTACATTTACAGATGGTTATACAGTTATCAGCCAATGAATACTATTTCAGTTTTTTAATGTGTTTTTTTTTGTCAATACAGTGTTAAATCAGTTAAACATAAAAAAAAAAAAAATACAATTAATAAGAATTATGTATTTTTTCTTCTTAATTTCATTCAAAGTCATACTAAATAACACCAGATTTAATAATAATAATAATAATTACTTACCACTGTGTACCATGCTCTTTGACATGCTTTTTTTAGACAATTTGTATTTATATATACTATTAAAGTTGATTATATATAATATAAAAGTTGATTTTCAGAATAGAGGGAGGTATTTGAACAATTTGATCTTATTTTATGTAATTTATCATTATTTGTATATACATGCATACATACATAACTTTACTGACATTTCAAAATTCAGATTTTTTTTTTTGGTTACAAAATTGTAACCTGTAAAAAAATTTTCAGTGGACTTCATTAAGTGTTTCTCATTATGTGGCATTATGTGTTTTAATATTCTGCCAACACCACTGGCATTAGACTTGGTGACAGTTTCTTTTGTGTTCATTATTAAAAACATTTTTCTCAGTTTGAACTTTTTACTTATTACACTTTCTAGTACATTAAAGATATTATATTTTACATGTTTTTTCAACTTTTGCTTTATGAAAACTGTTTTCTACTCATCTGCAAAATGGATAAGTAACATGCATATTTTCAGATTGTGTCAGAATTATATATAGAATATTAAATCGTGATTATAAGCCCTGTAGAATTAACTATACTATACTAATGTACTACTTTAATACAAAAACACATTTAAATGAAAACAAATCTATAGGATTTGCGTACATTGCAGTTTGACTTTTTGCCTTCTAAAAGTATGTGACCGTATCTGTCACCACATTTGTTTAACAAGTTGGTTTTAACCATAGATTCTTGGTTTAAAAAAAGTCTTTCTGACCCACTTCAGCAAGCCACCTTAACCATGAATCCCGTCTAAATTGCATGATGCAACGGTGTCTTTCCTCGCTCAACCAAACACTTTTAAGTTTGAATTCATGGAGAGATGGGCATCACCACAAGATTAAAACATTTTTATAGGCACATTCACTTCACAGACGTGTTTAAAACGTGCAGTTCTGCTCGAGGCAATGATGTGCTATCATGAAGTGTTTATTGAATGTTTCATCATGAAATTAGAGTCTCTTTGGTCTTCATTTAGCTGGTTACAGAACAGCCTTCTATAGATGAATAAAAGCAGCCAAATATTATAGAATGGAAGTATCTCTTTGGTCTTTTAATGCAATCAGACAAAGCACCAAACGCTCTACAGCTAGGATTTATTTTGATCTTTGATGGTTGTCACGGGGTTTGTGCTTGTTTGAATTTTTACTAATCTTTTTACATCTACAGAAATCGAGCCTGTCCTCAGGCTCTGTGACACAGCTATTGTCGGACACTGAATAGATTTCTCTGCATAGAGCTACAAAGCCAAAGCACCCAGGAAACCAAAGAAACAAATCTTTCTGATTTAGCCTCCATCCCATGTGGCCCACTAGCATCAGCACAATTGCTAGCGGGCCAGTCCCAATTGGGAAGTCGTGGCCTAATGGTTAGAGAGTCAGACTCATAACCCAAAGGTTGTGGGTTCGAGTCTCGTACCGGCAGGGATTGTAGGTGGGGGGAGTGAATGTACAGGTGCTCTCTCCCACCTTCAATACCACGACTGAGGTGCCCTTGAGCAAGACACCGAACCCCCAACTGCTCCCCGGGCGCCGCAGCATAAATGGCTGCCCACTGCTCCGGGTGTGTGTTCACGGTGTGTGTGTTCATTGCTGTGTGTGTGCACTTTGGATGGGTAAATGCAGAGCACTAATTCCGAGTATGGGTCACCATACTTGGCCACATGTCACGTCACTTTAATTGTCTTTACCCTCGTCCGGCTGCTCATCACTTCTCTCTCTCCACCAAAACAATTTATGCCCTCCTCTTGACTCTAAATCTCAAAGCTTTATTAGCCATAGTTTATGAGTGGATGTGGTCTAGGCATGACCAACTGATGGTTGTTGCACTTGTCCTTTGGATCGATCTGCAGTAGACAGGCTGCATAATTACTGTACTTGCGCTGTGAGATGCGGGATGATTAAATCGTGGTGTTCTGAAGGTTCTATGCCCCCTGATGTTCATTAGGTCAAACTCTTATTGTAACATGTCCATCCCATCATTAATGACCATTAGCCAGTTGTCAGGCTGTGATGGATAGTGGTTTAATGGTGTGGGCTGTTGTATAACTTGATGTCAATCAAGGTTTGGCAAAATTCACGACTTAGTAATTGAAAGTGAATTAGTCGTGCCCCACAGGAAACTGAATTAGAATTGATTTGAAATGACAGAACTTACTGTACTGAAAATTGAAGATTTAATTACATTTATTGCTATTATGTGAAATTAAGTGATTTTTCAGCCTGGTCAATAAAGCCTATAAAATCTTTGAACTTTAAAATATATTTATTCATTTTTGAGTAAAAGTTTGAAAGTGAAAGTTTGATTGAAGGATTTTATAAAGCTTGTTCTACATCTTTGGACACTGTTGCTCCGCTTAAGCATAAAAGGGTAAAGGGTGTTGGCCAGCCATGGTTAAATGAAACCACCCGCACTCTTAGACAAGAGTGTCGGAAAGCAGAGCGAAAGTGGAAAAAAGATAAGCTACATGTTTCCTTTGATATCTTAAAGTTAAGTCTCTCTAATTAACAAATAGCAGTAAAACATGCAAAATCTAGTTATTTCTCTCAGTTAATTGCTGATAATGTGAATAGACCAAAAGCATTGTTTGATATGATTGATTCTCTTTTAAACCCAACTATGAATCTATTATCTGAGGGCTCCTCGGAGCTTTGTGAGGACTTTTTAAACTATTTTACTAAAAAAATGTATGCTATCAGATCCTCCATTGCTCCTTCTGATTCAATTCATTTGCAGTTGCCTTGTACCACAAGTTGTTTGTCTTCCTTTCAACCTGTTTTATCACATCAGCTAGATGATATTGTCTCTACTATGAAGTGTTCTGATTCTAAGTTAGATATTATTCCTGCACGTCTTTTTAAGGATGTTTTTTCCGAATATTAGTCCTATTGTAACAGCTGTAGTGAACAGCTCTTTAGCCAAAGGTGTTGTTCCAGCCAGTTTTAAACATGCAGTTGTGAAACCTCTGCTGAAAAAACCTCAGCTTGACCCAGCAATGCTCTGTAACTATCGGCCATTTTCTAAGTTGCCCTTTATCAGCAAGCTTTTGGAGAAAGTAGTGTTTTTACAACTTCAGTCTTTTTTGGATTTGTTTAGTGTTTTAGATAAGTTTCAATCTGGTTTTAGATCATTACACAGTACTGAGTCAGCTCTATTGAGAGTTACAAATGACATGCTGCTTTCTCTGGATTCAGGTGCTTGTGTTGTGTTAGTATTGTTGGACTTGAGCGCTGCATTTGACACCATTGACCATAGCATTCTTCTTGATTGACTTGAATGTGTGGTAGGTATTCGAGGCACTGCATTAAAGTGGTTTGCCTCGTATCTCGAGAACAGGACTTTTTCTGTAAATTTAGGAAATGTTTTCACTTCCACTGCACCTGTCTTGTGTGGAGTGCCCCAGGGATCCATTTTGGGACCTTTACTGTTTTCCCTTTATATGCTTCCCTTGGCCCACATTTTTCAAAAATACAGTATTTCATATCATTGTTACGTGGATGATTCTCAGTTTTATCTACCAGTAAGGCTTGATCCTGCTATTTCATTTGATGTATTATTGAAATGTTTATGTGATATTAAAAAATGGATGTCTAATAATTTCCTGCAGTTAAATGAGGACAAAACCGAGGTTTTATAATAGGTTGCCCTGCACACTCGTCTCCTACTTTGGAAGTTCAGCTAGGTCCACTTTCAACTAATGTACGCAAACAAATCAAAAACCTTGGAATGATTTTTGACTCCTCTCTAATTTTTGATAAACAAATTAGTGCTGTTATTAGAGCAAGTTTTTTCCATTTGAGATCTATTGCAAAGTTGAAGCATTTTCTTTCAAGGAAGGATATGGAAGTTGTGATTCATGCACTTGTTACATCTCGATTGGATTATTGTAACTCTCTTTATTCTGGTCTTCCTCAATCTTCAGTGTCACGATTGCAAGCTGTTCAAAATGCTGCGACAAGACTTTTGACTGGGTCAAAAAAGAGGGATCACATTTCTCCTGTCTTAGCATCCTTTCATTGGCTTCCCGTTAAATTCAGGGTTGATTTTAAAATTCTTCTGTTTGTTTATAAGGCATTGTCTGGTTGTGCACCAAGTTATATTCCTGAACTTCTTGTGCCATATTGTCCTGCTAGGGCACTTAGATCTTCGAGTCACTTGCTACTAGCTGTACCACGGTGTCGGTACAAATCAAAGGGTGATCGGGCTTTTTCTGTGGTTGGCCCCAAGTTTTGGAATGGTCTCCCCTATCATGTGAGATCTGCTCCTTCTTCTCTTATTTTTACTCTTTAGCCTTTGTATGCATGTAGTTGTTGTTTTTATTAGTAGATTTGTTTGATCATTGTACAGCACTTTGGATCAATTTACATTGTGTTTAAATGTGCTTTATAAATAAATGTTGTTGTTGTTGTATTTATTTATCTTTCAGAAGTTTGTCAATTCAGCATTCAAAGTTTGTGTTGATAAACTTCAAATTTTCTGTTATATATAATATTTCAAGAAAGATAAACCTTTTGTTGATAAGCAAAACAATTAATTGCATGTGAATTTATGCTAATGTGGTTGAATTTCAATTCTTTTTATTTCTGCTTCTTCAAATTTAAAAATCAGTGGATTGTGTGTGTCCATCATGCAGCAACATTAAACATTTTCCTTTCGTCCAGTGGACAAAGAAACTTAAATTGAATCTCTAATTTAATTTCTTACAGAATTCTGCCAGCCCAGCTGCGACAGGCTCCAGCACCCCTGTTACAGGCTATCGGCGCATGATCATCCCACCTCAACCCCCTCTAACCGCCACTAAGAAATCCACCCCAAAACCACAGGCCCCTCCGACCGTCCCTCCTCCGGCTTCATCATCTCCACGGCCCCAATACCAGCCTGCTCCCCAGCCTGTCCCAGCATCCTACACCACCGCCTCTACTCCTAGCCAGCCCACCTTCAATGTTCATGTCAGGGCCGCCCAGCCTGGGCCTCAGCAGCAGCCGGTCCGTGGTCCAGCCCAGGTTCAGTACATGCCGGCTCAACCCAGAGGCCCTGATTTTGCATATGGGCCTCCGCAGCCAGGATTCTGCCCTGCTCCGTCTGGAGGCTACCAGGACCAGCACTATGGTGGAGCTCCTGCTTATGGAGGTCAGAATACATGGAGAGCTGAGCCAAGTCACCATGCTGCTCCTCCACCCAGCCAAGGGTACCAGCCCGCTCCCCCGACAAAAACCTACATCACTGACCCTCCTGCCAGCCTGACACCTTTCGGCGGTGGGCCTTCTGCTCCTCATAAGGTAAGGGCCACATCTACAGTATGTTCAAACAAAACAGTAGAACAAACAAAAACAGATGAAGCAACAAATCTGAAAAGCTTACTGAGAAAAGCATTCAGGCCTATAATCAATTCTCCCATTTTATTGAATTTATTAAATTATATTCTCTGCAATACTTTTTTAAAGCACAGAAACACAAATTGAATTATTTTAATATGGCATGCAATCTTTGTGTCACCAAATGAAAACAAATGTCCTTTAAAGGACAAAATTGTCTTACTATCGGCTGCTACCTGTGAATAACTCTAATAACTATCATATTTTCTGGATGAAAACACAGAGATCATTATTCAGGTAGTGAATCTGTAGGCCATAAGGAACAAAAAACAAAGAGCATTTAAAGAATTAAAGTAAAAAAGGTAAAAAAAAAAGCAATATTCAACCTTGTAAAACAGAAAAACACTTTTAAAATACTTTTAACAAGAGTGCTTATTACGGAAATAGTATACTTTAAAAGAATATACTTTAGTGCTAACTGAATGTTATGTTTTCACACTTAACTGCAATTAAATGAAAATATTTTGTAGTTCAAGTTTATATTAAATGCAATTAGATGAACTTCACTAGGACTGAAAGTACTTCTTTATATGTAATTTCTATGTATGTAATTACTTATATTATCTATATGCTTAAATATGATTAAAGTGTACCATAGAATGTACTAACAAACATTTATGCTAAACTAAAATATACTTAAATATCATAATTTCTATTTAAACTTATATATATATAAATATTTATGTAATTACACTTTTTAATGTTGAAGTTGCAATTTAGTACATTTAAAATATATTAACTTTAAATGTAACATCCAATGACGCATAATAGTTAAGCTCAAGTCAATCAATAATCAAGTAGACTACTTTGCATGTGTAGTATCCAACACAATAAATAAATCTAATTCTTTAAAGTATGACAGAAGATTATTAAAAACATAATGATTTTGAATTTACTTTAAAAACTTAATTGGACATTATTTAAAAGTGCACTTTTTAAAAGCGTGCTTAAGTATGTTAAAAAAACGTAGTCATGAACATGTACTCTTTATAAATACACTTAAATCGCCTTTTTTTCATTAACATTATATTATCTGCAAGTAACATTTTTGTTGAAGTTGAAGTACACTACACAAGTGCACATTCAATACAATTCACCGCACTTCTTTTTCGCAGGGGCATCCATTACATTGGCCTGTATGGGATGGTAGAGTTTGCCAAAAACTGTAAGAGTGATTTAGGAATGATGTGGGATTTTATGGTCAGATGAAACCAAAACAGTGCATTTTAGATGTAATGTTTAGATTTGATGTGATACAAGTTGAGTGCTTGTCTCACATTTGTCAAACATACTTTGAATTTTTTTATTTAAATAATACCAAATAAGGCTTTTAAATTAAAATAATACAATTTACATGCTTTCAAATAAATAAATAAATAATTAAATAATTTGGATTTAAATTTAAATTTAAATTTGAATTGGATTTAAAACATTGAATATCTTTGAAAGACATAAAGGTTCTGGAAACCTACTGCTAATTTTTATCCAAGAGCAGACACACAGCTGTTCTTATTCTGTGCACAATGAAAAATTCATGAAAATACTTTGAAAGTGTGTGTCTATGTTTGTGTTGTTTGTGTGTGTGTGTGTATGAATATATGTATGAATAATACATTTGTGGTAATTAATTATCTGTGTTCGTGTGCTATGATTGTGTGTTTAAGCTTGTTGCTTGTGTATTTTATGATTTATTGATTGTGCATGAGAGACAGAGAACATTTTTAAAGGCTGGTTACCACACAAAACATGCTCCTATTTAAAATTAAACCCTGAATCTTTACACAGTCATAACAGCTCATTTAAAGAAACAGCTTGTGTTAACGTCACAGAAACATACTAAGATAATGAAACTCAACTTTTTCTTTTAAATGAATGTGTGTGTGTGTATAGTATGTGTGTTAAAGATTGTGAGTGTAAGTGACTCATAAGTGTGTATATTACTTAGTGTTTGTGATTTAATTGCTTCAGATGACAATACAACAGGGAGTTTCTTTGCATCCTTCATCGAAATCTTCTGAAAAAACAAACAAAAAAACTGTTATTTTAACCTTTATGAATTGTTAATGCCACTTCTCTGTAGGGCTTTACACTTTCTGAATCTATTCGTCTGAATAGAGACTGAATGTTTATCTTATCTTACCTCACTCATTCACTCATCTCTCTCCCTTTCTTTATTTCTCTCTCACTTTCACTCTCTCTACTCTTATGTCTTCATATTTAACATCTAGTTCTAACTTGTTATTTATTGATAGAGGAAAGAGGATGCAAATATTTATTTAATGTATTTTTGTAAATTTAACTGAAGGCTCTACAGTCTTAGTTCAATACCTTAAAGTATAGAAATAATAAAGGGTTAGCTCATGTGATTATTCATGTTTGGTGATGCCCATTAGGTCCATCAGGGGTATTCATAATGGGGGCCACAAACGAGCAGAAAATTTGAGAGAAGGGGTGTATATTACAAAATATATAATTAAAATATTTATTATATCAAAAATATTTTTAAAACATTTTATATATATATATATATATATATATATATATATATGACCTATGACCTTTGACAATAAACTATCTTTGCTACTAAAAGCAACATTATTTTTTAGCATCAAGGTGGTAATGTCACTGTTTTTGAAGTAATTAAATTTAGAGCTTCACAATTAGCAGAGAGATGCTGCATAAACACAGGTAATTCTTGATTTTTACTACTTGAATTTACTTTAGATCTAACCAGCCATGAATAAAATAATGAAAAGTAACTGTTATTTTTATCCATCCAGTCAATTTTATACACTGCAAACATAAATTATAACATTAACTTGTCTGTTCCGCCAAGTTTTATAGTATAAGCAGACTATACGTGTCTAGATATGTGTTCATGAAATACACTTTTACCTTTCTCACTGGGGTTCTAAGGTAATATAATAATAATTATACAATATAAATGAATAAATAAGCTTTCCATTGATGTATGGTTTGTTAGGATTGGACAATATTTGACTGAGATACAACTATTTAAAAATCTGGAATCTAAGGGTGCAAAAAAATCAAAAGATTGAGAAAATCGCCTTTAAAGTTGTCCAAATTAAGTCTTTAGCAATGCATATTACTAATCAATAATTAAGTTTTTATATATTTACAGTAGGAAGTTTACAAAATATCTTCATGGAACATGATCTTTACTTAATATCCTAATGACTTTGGCATAAAAGATAAATCTATCATTTTGACCCATATAATGTATTTTTGGCTATTGCTACAAGTTCAAGTTCAAGTCTGCTTTATTTTTTTACAAATATCCCCGTGCAACTTAACACTGGTTTTGTGGTCCAGGGTCACATTTATTTTTGATTTAGCACAATGACAATATAAAAGCCAGTTGTTAGGAAACAACGTGCTGATCTGTGATCATCACACTTTTTTTTTTTTTTTACTGATATCTCTCATACAGTGTAAATGAGTCTTCATAAATATAGCTGTCTTTTTGTTGTAGGAAGGGTGCCCCTTGCAAGGGGATCACCACATAGTATTTAACACATATTTTCATTTAGGTTCTTAGGTTTAAAATCGAGCTCCATGCTTTAAAACTGTGCATATCTTACCAGTTGGCTTTCTGAAATTCAACCAGGCAAGAGAACATCGGTCAAAACTAGAGAACAAACAAGGTGTTGACACTGAATGCCACATGGCAGTTTCCGTCTTATCGCTGGTCTTCCCCCTCGGCAGAACTTCTAGGTCACTACCTTAGAGTCCTCTGCAGAAAGACAGCTTGAGGTGCCTGCGAATCAGTTTCTCTTTTTAAAATTCCCAAGAATATCTGGTAATGTCTTTCACAATCAGCCCAAGGATGTAAAACATCCAGTCCAATTATAGTGATGCAATACGCTGTTATTAATATATAAGAGTGATGGGATGATAAGTGGCAGGCGCTTGAGATGTGTCTTTTGCCTTGTGTCGTTGTAGGCCCTTCCTGCTCCACACAGATTCTAGTGGCCTTTTAACCAGCAATCATTTCTGTGTCATTGGTTTATTTATTGTGAAGCAGAAAATATGCAGTGCTTTACAAAAGAAATGCCACACTCAATAAAGTAATGCCATTCAAAAATTCAAAAGGACAAATATTATTATGGAAAAAGGACTCTTTTTTTGAGTTGCCTCAGCGAACCATTAAACTGACTCATTTTCTACTGGCTGCACCATGGAGATGGCTATTGCGGTCTCCGCATAAACACTCTCCATAGCCACAATCTGGGGAAAAGAACACACCCTTGAGCCCACACTAATTCAAGGATTTTATGCACTAGTACAAACAACTGCAGCCCCAGCCTTTGGGAATAGCTCATCAAGGACTGTGTTTAACTAAACACAAAATAAATACCACATTGTAGGGAGCAGCCTCATGAATTAAGAAAACAAATTAACATTATTCGAAACACAAGTACATTATACTGTGAGATGGCAGATCTAGTCCCAAAATAGTGCATCAAAAAACAAAAAGTTGATGTTTTACGGGTCTCAGAATTTCTCTTTGATCCCCCCGCCCTATATTCTTATTGCATTCATTTTCGGTATGTTCTGAACCTTAATACAGATATGTTGGTTCAGTACTTAATTCGGTAGCACTTTATTTTAAGGTGTCCTTGTTACACATGTTACATGTACTTACTATTATAATAATTTATTATGCATAATTACATGCAAGTAACCATAAGCCAAACCCAAATCCTAACCATAACCATATAGTAGTAAGTACATGTAGTTAATTAAAGGGGTCATATGATGCGATTTCAAATTTTCCTTTTTTCTTTGAAGTGTTACAAGCTCTTGCTGCATAAAGAAGATCTGTAAAGTTGCAAAGACTAAAGTCTCAAATCCAAAGAGATATTCTTTATAAAAGTTAAGAG